TCCTTGTCATGCAAGCAGTATCAGATTCTTACAAGGTTCTTTTTTTTTTTTAAGATTAAAATTACCTCTAATTTTATTTTGTGTCCTCTATAGAGGGCTCTGTTTGAATTATTTCCATGTTGATTTAGAGAGTTTGGTTCTTAATTAACTTTCTACTTTCTCTTATGTTACCTTCCCTCCATGTTGTTTTATAAATGATGATTTTTTGTTAAACTTGGGAAATGGTTTGTTTATCATAGGAACCGATGGAGGAAATGCTACCGGTTCTACACTTGCAAATAACTCAACATTACCATTAGCTGCAGAAAGAACACGCAGGATTGACCCTAGTAATCATTTCAGTTACTATAAGGATGGATGGGATATTAACAATAAACATTATATTCTGGTGTGAGCTTGTTTTTCTAATCACGTGCATCTGATTTTCCCACAAATTCATATGTTCGATAAGCCATAAAGATGTTCCTTTTTTCATTAAATATTAATATTAAACAAAAAAATTAACCTTAAGCTGATTTTAAGCAAGTAAAAATAACGTGTTTATTAAAAAAAACATTTATTATACGGAGAATATAAAAATATAATAAATATTATTATGTCGCAAATGATATGTGCTATGTGCATAGATTAGACTACTCCTCACGTGTTGCAATAACTGTACACATCATAATATTCAGTCTTCTTGCATGTTTTACTTCTTTTCACACTGACAATGTTATCTTTTATTTCACTTCCTACAAATTGGTTCGAGTGTAGTCTGTTGCTTTTTCTGCTACTCCTCTCTTTGTCATTGCTGCCCTCTGGTTTATCTTAGTGGGAATAAGCCTCATCATCATAACTTGCTTATGTTGCTGCGGCTGCGGCAGGAACAAGTCTAGAACTTACTCTCCAAAGACTTTTAATATATCACTTATCTTTCTCTCTCTCTTCTTGATCATGACAATGTAGGTCCCTTTTCTCTCCCCAATTTTGTGTAGAAAACCATGTTTGAATCCATGTTAATATTCACTTCTATATTTCAGATTTGGAGGGGTTTTCCTTTACATTGGGCAGGGAAAATTCCAAAGTGCAGCAAATGATGTATCAGATGTTCTGATCACAAAAGCAAATACAGTAATTGATATTGTTCAAGAAGTAATGACCAATCTTGATTCTGCTAAGAACATACAAATAGGCAAGTTTAATCTTCCAGATGATGTGAAGAAAAGCATTGAAAAGGTTGAAGGATTGTCCAACCAAACTGATAACCTTAAGAGCCAATCAGAGGAAACAGAAAAAGTCTCAAACGAACTCCTGAATTCTGTGTGAGTGAATCCTTCTTTATTTGTTTCCTTTATGAAGCTTGTGTTATGAAATTGGGTTCAGCCTACTAAACTAATGGTTATCAAATTCAGAAATCATAGCCTCATCATTGTTTGCTCTCTGATGCTTATCTTGGCAGTTTTTGGCTTCAGTAAGTATATCAGATCCTGAATGATTATTTCCTCTGAACAAAGAATGCAAATTGGCTCACAATATTGTATTTAATTGTTCACTGCAGTTGTCTCAATTTTGGGCTGGAAATGGATTGTCTTTATGTAAGTGATTCGGTTCCTTTTTTTCGTTTTTGAATTCTGTTCTTGAATTAATTGTCTGATTTTCCAAATTCTCAATGTTCCCACTAGTTTTCCTTCTTTTTCTGTGTGTGTGAGTGTGTATGTTTTTTTTAATTCTATGCCTAATAAAATTACTGCAGCTTGTTCTTCATAGGGTGGATTCTTGTCACCGGCACTTTTGTATTGGGAGGTGTATCTTTAATTGTTCACAAGTAAGTTCCATCAATTAATGTAATGTCACAAATCAACCATGGCTTATCATAATTTTTAGCCATTTCTTTTTCTGGATTTAGGTAACAGAATGGCTACAAGGGAACCTTACCTTTCAAATCGCTTTATGTTTTGGAAATTTTTTGTGCATCAATTTGATAAGCACTTAGAATAAAACCATTAACCATATTATGACAAGATGTTGTTTTCTACCAATACAGGTCCAAAATGTTAAATAAGCATTATTAGTATATCATAAAAGTTAATTTCAGATGCTCAAACTTTAAACTAAAATTATATTAAACTTCAAGCAGTGTAGTTGATTCGTTTCTTTATTTTCCATTTGCAGCGGGGTAGCTGACACATGTGTTGCAATGGGGGATTGGCTTCAGCACCCACGAGATCAAACAGCTCTAAGCAAACTTCTTCCTTGCATGAATGAGGAAGCACCCCAAAAAACATTGATTATGACCAGAAACACCTCATTCCAAATGGTCAATTTGGTTAATACATTTGTGAGTAATGTAGCAAATAACAACGTGCCTCCTTCTTTAAAAGATCTATACTACAATCAATCTGGTCCATTGATGCCCATCTTGTGCAATCCATTTTTCCCTAACTTGGCTGAACGAACATGTGGTCCATCGGAAGTAGAGTTAAAGGGTGCACCTGCAGTAAGTTCCCTTCAATTTGTTAAATAAGCTATTTTAATTTGGCTTATTAGAAAAGTAAGCCACAATAGTTTTATTTCACTCTCTAATCGTGCATGTAATAGTGGTGATTATGAATAAAACATGAAAAATGTTAACAACACATTCTTCTAAACATATTCTTTGTGATTGGTTAGTTTCTTTCATTAATTTGATCACATTTTAAAATTATTTTGACTTGATAAAAAAACTAACCAATCACATAAAATACGTTAAAGAGTGTATTGGTAACATTTCTTATGAAACAATTGACTTCTCCTTTTGCTAAACAATAATTACAGTTGAAAGGTGTTACAAATAATTATGCTATGATATTAGTAACCGTCATCGTGGTTTTCAATTAATGGGTAGGCATACCAAAGATTTGTGTGTGATGTATCCCCATCTGGTATATGCATTACAACTGGGAGATTGACTCCTTCCCTCTACTCCAATTTCTTGGTGGCTTCCAACCTCAGTGACACACTGCATCGACATGGTCCACTCCTGGCTCGCTTAGTAGATTGTTCCTATGTTTCAGAAACCTTTGCTCAAATCAATAAGGATAACTGTCCCTTGTTAAGGCGATACAGCGGTCATGTCTTCATTGGTTTGGTGTTGGTTTCAGTTGCAGTAATGTTTTCTGTGATTTTGTGGGTAGTTTTCGTTAGAGAGAGACAGCTTCAAAAGTCTTCAAAGAAGTTGGCAAAAACACGGGTTGAAGCTCATTAAGACGAAAAACGTCATAAGAGAGCTAAATTACATTGTCATCAGCTTTAATTGGGATCAATTATTAAATATAACAAATGAGAAATGGTTTCTTTCATGTAAAATTTTAACATGCATGAAAAGATAACGCATAATATTGTGTTTATCTTTCTCTCCTAATCTTTCATTAAATAAATGAGACTTATTTAATATATATCAAGAGAGATAAACATAAGATTTGAATAGAGTCGATTATACATATAAAAAGATTAATTCACGTCAATTACTTGGACCTAAATCAAGTTATTATTATTAATGTATTAGCGGGAATTGAATCGATTTATAAACGTTCTTACTATTGAGGTGTCCGAATATTTAAAAGTAACAAAATTATTCTTAATTTATATACCCATACAAATTACTTTTAAGTTTTTTCTCCATAATTAATGTACATATATATATATATATATATAAACTTTTAATATAATTCAACATATTAATTTTTATAGTTTTAAATTTATTAAATCATGCATAATTTTTCAAAAATGCCCTTTTTTATAACCTGTTCTTTTTTTTCTTCTTCTTAAATGTTAACAACCCGCGGAAGGAATTGAAGAACTAAGACAAGTAAAAAACTAGAAGATGATGAGAAATGAGAACAAGGAAAAAGGAATATTGAGAATGTAAAGAGCGGAAAGATGTTCATGAGATGAGCATGATTCCTACTTCAATTCTATTATAATTTTCTTTGAAATCTCCGAAGAGTTGAAGTTAGTCACTGTCAAAACTCGGCAATGTGGTAACGTCAACATCACAAATTGGAAAGCTTCATCCATTGGTAGCTTTCATAAGGGATGAAAACGGAAATGTGTACGACAAGCTATTTCTCAATATAATATTAATATATTCCCGTTCTACAGTTAAATTTTTATTTCATACTCATTCATTTAGCAATTTTCCCGTTTACATTATTAAGTCAATTGTTCCTTGTAGTAGTATTACTAGGAGACGGTAAATCAATAGCTTAACACGAGTATGACCAAAAATTATTGAAACTTAATTAGACTTGGCCACAGTAACTCTCACAAACTCCTCTGAACTAAGTTACTGTTAGCCCAAAAGAGATCCTATGAAGTACTAGACATCACATGTGTAGGGCGTGGGGCAGCTTCATCCTTTCCCTTCTGCATGTTGCATGGTTCAGATGAGAATGATGTTCCCATGGCTCTTCAAGATAAAAGAAGTATAAAGTAAAGTAATCATTTGCTGATTGGGAGAAAGACTTGGTAAAAAAAATTCAAAGACAAGAATGTAAGGTAGTATCAACTATTAAATATACTTTGTTAATGTGTGTATTGTCAACCACAAGACATTACATTACATTATATTGCACAAACCCAAGTCAAGCGGACCCAGCCCAAACTGTTTGGACTTCAAAGTTTCTACACAACTAAACATCTACTGAAAATCATCAATTCTCTCCCCATAAACACGCTAATCTGATGCAAATTTTCCCCTATCAAAAAGCTAAAGGGCATGAACATCCAAAAGCAAAAGTAGACAATCTCATTACTCAAACAGACAGGTGGTAAAGTTACCCATCCGCGTGACCCGCAATACTATTAAAAAAAGCAACAAAAGTCTGAAAAAAAAACACATTCAAATCTGTCTGGTGGAAGAACCCAAAAAACCCATCTCTCACCACCTAATTAAGAATAAGGGCTAATAAGTATAGAACTAACAACACCCCCCCCCCCCCCCCCAAAAGAAAAATTAAATTTTGAAAAAATAAAAGGTTTCAATTTGGCTTTAGATCTTGGAACATGGTATCCCACCTGATCTCTTCAACAGCAGCAGACCAATACCCATCATCATGATCATCACCACCTTCCATTTTTTCCTCCTTTTGGAAATGGTACACCATAGGACTAGTGAAACCATCAAGACCAGGTAAAGCAGGCACCACCGTAGGACTTCCATTTGTGAGCAAGAGCCTCTCTTGCTTAGGCACTCTCAACCTTTTGTTCCTCTTCACAACAGCACTCTTCCATCTTGTCCCATAACCACTAGGCCTTGTCCTTGATGATGGCACCACAACAAGTGCTGATGATTCTTCTTCACACCCAATGAACGTGCGAATGTAATTAGCTAAGCACCTCTTTGTCCTCTTGATCGCCACCATGATCCTTGCCACTGGGCGTGATGACCTCTTTCCCTTTACTTTTCTTGCAAGCTTGAGAATTTCAAGCCTGTGCTTGGCTATGGAGATACCCATGCTTTGGAGAAACTCATGGTTGAAGTAGATTATGTCTTCTTCTTCAAGCTCGTTGTGAGCAAAAGTAAGGCCATACTCATATACTAGGGATGGTTCAAGGCCTGTTTTGGAAAGCCATGAGAACCAATCCATAGTTGCTGAGTTGAAGGAAATGTGTGTGTCACTGTGTGTTGTGCATACCACCTTGAACTTCAAGAGTGGTGTATTTATATATAGAAAGGGTGAATGGTAAAGAGAAACTGAAAAGAAAGTGGTTAAGTTTGTGGAGTGACTTGGTCTTTTTTGGGGTGTGGCTATATGCTTTTCTGTTTTTCTTTTTATTGTGTGAAATTAGTTATTAGTTGAATCTTGAGAGTGACTAAAGAAAAAGTACGCAGAGGTGTGTGTGGGGTAGGTAACCCATGCTCATGTTCCCTCCAAAACTAGTTCCTATGTGATCAAACTCTGAGGACTGAGTGAGACCTAAGAATAAGAATTTCCTGTGGAAATTTACTCCCATCAATCACGGGTTAGGGAAAAGTGGCCAAGGTGGGGCCACCCAATACTTGTTTGGTGTAAGTAGTTGAGGGTGAAGGTGGCAAATGCAAGTGTTAGAACTTGAACTAGTTGGTGTGTATGGCAACCCATTCAGGCGTTATGTACAACATTTGAGAAGTGGCTTTCATTGATTAAACTAAAAGCGAGGCCTCCATTATTTTGCGATCAAATTAATTACATATGATTGATATCCCATAACTTCTCCCAACTATGACACTTGATTCTTGGGGTTGCACTTTGCTTGTGGATAACATTCTAGTACTAGTACAATATCCACAACTTATTACTCCCATTGATCGAGTCCTATACTCCTGTTTGGGAGAGAGAGAGAGAGAGATAAATAAAAGGGTATTAAGGAAGCACTAATTATAATGATTTTATCAATTAATCTTACCGAACAATCATTTAAAAATAAAGCTTCATTTAACATCAGTATTGGAGTCTGTTTTTCTTGAGACACTTGAGAGGAAATTAAAAATGGAGACTGAAGAGAAGTAAGAGAGTTTGGAAATATTTTATCATTATCCGTGATGACTTTGCCTTGTATAATATTTTCATTGACTTTGGTTTTGTGTGCCATCGCCGCCCAATTAGCCTCTAATCTTCATGTATTTTCTATTTAGTTAAGCTTGAGCATAAGATAATATGCCCGATTAGTCTGCACGTTTGAACTCTTGCAACTGTCAAAGGTCCAAATCATAAAATGGTTAAAACAAACAATTATTAACCTTTTTTAAAACCACTTTAATTAACATTTTTAAAATTTTAATATTTAACCATTAGTTTAAAGTAATTTTTTGTTTTCATTCTTGTTAGTTTTTAGTATTTTCTTTGTTGTTTAATTAATTTTTAAAAGTTTAACACCTTAACTTTTGTCACGTTTAAAAAATAAATAATTTAACAAAAGCATAAAATTTTATTTTTATTATGATATAAATTTATTAAAATAATATTATTGAAATATTCGTGTTATCCTTTTTTATTCAATAAATTTATTTTAAAATAAATGAAAAAATAAATTTATAATTATTTAAAATATATAATTATCAAATTTTTAATTTTGGTACAGTAATTAATGATGTTTTTATTTATTATTTTATATTTATCATTTAATTTAACAGTTAATTTTATTACATATTTTAAATTTAATTAACTAACTTTTCAAATTTTATTTTTGAAATTTTTAGCTAACACTTTAACTTTCAAGTTTCAACCAATGTTAATTTTAACAAATACGACCTAAACCTGCTCAAATATTTTTTGCTAACAAATGCATTTCAATTAAAACAAATATGGTTCATGACTATTTAAACGTAAATTTAAACGTGCCAATAATAATTTAAACATGTGAAAATAATTCCAGACATTAATTAAAAAATTGTATTTCAATTTTTTTTAATCGGTGTTATTAAATTATTAGTTTTTTTTTTTTTAACTAAAGTTATTTCATCAACTTTCAAAAGTTAATGCTCATTTCTCAAAATAAATATGAAATTGAAAATAAGAGCAAAAAGTAATCCATGACTTGCTTTAGCAACATGACAAGTCACTTTTTCCTGGAATCAGAAGAGCTTGTCACAACGCTTAGTAAATGGCTCAAGCACCATCCACTGTCTCCCCGGCCACCAAAATTTAGTTTTATTCGTTTCCCAATCTGCCCTTAGCTTCACAATTTGAATTTCACTTTACACAGCTTCACGGATGCATATTTAAATATCATAATATTATACCACTGAATTAACATTTATAATTAATGATCATACTCCCACATATGGTCATAATTTGTTTCTTCTTTTACTAAGTTCACATTTTTGCTTTGAGAACTTTGCTTAAGTGGGGTAATTAACTTGCTTCTCTTTTTCTTGACATACCACTGTAAAATTGGATAAGCAACAATTGACAAAATTGCTCTAAATGAACTAAAATATTCATAATTCATTTTAATTCGATCCATGAAATGTTTGATTAAGATCATTTATGAAATATTATGTCGGTTTGATACAAGCATGAGTGAAAAAGTACATGAATTAATCTGTAACCAGCTTAAATTATTTCAGATTTCACAACACTCAATGTCAGTTACGTGGCACTTGCTGCTCATGAAAGCAATTGTCTTTTGTCTTTTTATCTGTCTGATTCAAAGGATGTTTGTGTTATCAACCTAATCAGGGAGGGGAAGCCAAACATAATATACGTATCAGTTTCAATTTCATGTAAAGCCGTGTAATTATGAGAGATTAAACACAACTCTCTGTGTGGTATCATATCAGCACCATGCAACTTGCGTGAGCAAATGAATCTGTGGTTCCTCTACCATGAGACAGGCAAATCATGCATAATTATGGAAATAATTTCGTTATTTAAATTATTATTAGTATTATTTAATTTTTATCTTTTTTTGTGTACATACGTATATAAAAATTACACTATAAATATGAAAGAAACATCTAAAACTGTACTTCACTTCGATACTGATGATATTTAATTTCTTTATAAAAAATTGAAAGAATATAAGTATTAATGGCCGGCGAGTCCCTAATTATGTCAAACTTGTTTTTAAGAGAAAATAATAATTAGTTAATTGCATTTGGTTGGTAAAGGTGTGTTAGTTTGTGGACATGATGATTTAGTTTATTGTATCAACAAGCGTTAATCATCAGCTTTGCGAAACCTAATATTCCACTTTTTATTAACACAAAACCAAGCAAAGATGGTTAAGAAATGATCATTTGGTCCGCATGTAAATTTCAAATCATATTATATTCCAAATTAATTAACTTCAATCTAACAGAGAATATGCATAAAAAGGAACTCGAGTTAGAAACTATAGAATATATAGTTGATAATTTTGGTGCACATGATAGGCCTATAAATTATATAGGCCACGTGACTCACGTGAGGTGTGATAACTCATATTTGAAGCAGTTCTCCTAAATTACTGCTGCATATCATTAATATTAAAAATGGGATAACCCATGTTGCTTATTTTTTTTATATAAACCCCAGAATACTAAGATGTGTTCTCGAAGTTCAAATACAAGCAATTAGTAGTTGAAAAAATCTTCTAATTTGTTTGGTCAGAAATAAATAACTTGTAAAATTGAAATCAAATTAATGACATATAATGGAAGGAAAACTTCTAAAAAATATATGTTTGTGCGTTGAATTCAGTAATGTTTCATACCATATATATTAGCTATAATCCGTCACTTTTCCTTTCTATTATAAATTTTCTCCCAAAACGAATATTAAATTAATTTAGTTCGTACCTTTTTATATATTAAAATTAAAATAATCCAAATTGGTGTTCGTCATGATCAAAATGATATCCAGCGATAATGAAAAGCTCGACAGATATTCCTAATCTTTCAAGAAATTATCAAATCATTGTTTTAAAAAATTGAAAACTAAACCAAAAGTTTATAATATAAATGAATTTTAAAAAAATTGTTTAATTATATTAAAAATCATGGAAGTATATGTATTTATTATATTATTTTCATTCTTTAAATAATCTTATAAGAACTGCAAACGAATTGGTTTTACTTGGACTCGAAAGCAGCGTGACAACTACTATGAGCTCAGCTTGAAAGCAACATCGATGATCAAATATTGACGTTAATTATAAGAGGTGTTCAGTAAGTTTTATGGAATGAGTTTATTCTAATTTTGAAAGAATCATTTATTTGAACCTGACTTAAGTTAACTAAAATTCAATAATATATAGAATAACATTATGGAATCTACTACATATGCTAACATAATCTATAAATTCAATATTTTGTATAGTTAAGTTAATTTCTAAAATTTAAACCCATTAAAATTAACCTTAAGTTAATTAATCGAATTGATGAAAAGGGGCAAATCTCTTAACACCTCTAAAAATAACAAACCTGTGTAATTATGTTACCAAACAAGTATCTATATATAAAATAGATATTATTATTATTATTGGCCAATATTTTTATAATTTAATGATCCGAATTGAAAGTCTAGTCATAGAAAACTTAGAATGCTTTTGACTTGCTTCATATGAGTAGGTCAGAGCACGTTAGGGTGGGTCAACAAACAAATAGCATAGGATGCTTTTCTCATGTTAGATCCGAGGAAAAGTCTATATATATGGGTGGTTTTCAAAATTTTATAATTATTTTAGAATGTGTAAATATTTAATTTCGTTCTTGAAAGTGATGATATATATACATTGATTTGATTTTTAAAAAACTACGTATGTGTAATTTAATTTTTCAAATAAACTAATTTCATGATAAATTAAATATTTAACGTCGACGGCAAAAGTTTTTTTTATATACATTTTTGGTCAACATGGCAACATATCTTCAAACAAAATAAATCTCCCTAACGTTTTGGGCTCCCTTTGCCACATATCTTCAAACAAAACTGAAACCCAAAAGCATAATCCCCGTCTCCAAAAATTGAACATAATGCTTTCTATTTTTACACTTCTTTTATATTTTCAGAAAAAAATTTCTAAAAATATTATTTATTTTTAAAAACTATATGTTTAAAAAATTTGATCATAAAAAACATATTATTGTTCAAAATTAAGAAAAAAATGCAAATAAACTTTAAGA